AGTGGTCGAAAAACAAGCACATTCACCGCAAGGTGAAGTGTGCCCACTTAGTCCCCGAGCCTGGTAGTAGGTGACGTAGGCACGTGGTGCCAGGGTCTAAAAAGAATTCCCAGTTAAGTTGAGAATCCAATTGTCGTACAGGCGATACGAGATGCACCGGCAGGTGTATCGTACCGATGTAGTCCCCGAGCTTGCTGGAAGGCGAGGTATGAGCCTTGTAGCAAGGTCTAAGTGCGAAAAAATATCCCAACTGTATGCGAGTTGCCAGTCGCATGTAGCCGAGACGCAAAGTCCCCGAGCCGTGGTCGGAGAGTGGTCGAGGCAGTCCCCGAGCACAGGTCGAGGAGCGAGCGACGAAGTCCCCGAGCCGTGGTCGGAGAGTGATCGAGGCAGTCCCCGAGCACAGGTCGAGGAGCGAGCGACGAAGTCCTCGAGCCGTGGGGAGTGGTCTGGCCAGAAGTCCCAGAGCACAGAGTGGTCTGGCGAGTCCCCGAGGGTCCCAGAGCACGGAGTGGTCTGGCGAGTCCCCGAGCACAAGGGTGGTCTGGCCAGAGTCCTCGAGCACCGTAGTGGTCTTGGCGAGCCCCGAAGCATGAGCTCGTTGACCGAACTATGTTCCTGAAAAATAAACACGGAGAGCGGTAGTACATGATGATGTACGAAATATATTGATCTCTCTGTAGGAGGTGAAGTAAACACTTGGTGTTCGATTGGCGATGAATTATACTTGGTGTAATATTCGAAAAATAACATTAGATGTTTTTAGCCCTTTTGTTATGTAGTGGCGAGCGAGCGATGTATTAACTTTGTCCTAAAGAATGCGCCACTACTGTGCTAACCAACATCTCAGAGCGCGTGATGAACGGAATGCTTTGTAGCGTAGAGTGCCAGTGTTACCGAGGGGAGCGATCGCCGACTACCCGAGCGCAGAGGGCGGACTCTCATGCAGCGTGGGGTGGAGCGGAGACAAGTCTTGGCCCGGGATTCTCAAGCGGGAAGGAAAATGTATCGCGAACCGTTGTAAAAGCTTATACATGTTTTGGATTGTATGTATGGAGAAAATTCGACGCTGGAGCGCACCTAAGGGTGGTCAAGTGAGGTGTATGATGATCGAAGAAATTTTCAATTAAAAATAATACTTAGCTTTATTGACGACCGGTGGGTGTAGTCGGCGTGTTGCGATGTTCGAGAGATGGCTTGACGTGTCGTTGGCGATGAAGTTGTCCGGTCCTCGAGCTTTTCGACCTGTCGTCATGACTGTGGTCGCGATTGTTGTAGCGCCGTTCTTTGCGGCGATCATCATTACGACGTAGTCTTGTGGTCGAGGTGGTCGGAGCTCGGCGGAGCTCGGCGGGCGTGGTCGACGTGGTCGCGTGGTCGGCGTGGTCGGAGTTTCGGCGGAGCCGCCGAGACGTGGTCGAGCTCGGCGTCGGGTGGCTCGCTCGCGGTGGCTCGCTCGCCGCGGCTCGGCGTGGCTTGCTTGATGGCTCACTGCGTCTTGCCAACGGCTCGGACAATTTTGTTCGATGGCTTGGAATCTCATCTCGGCGATGATGTCATTGCCGGAGATCTTGTGGTCATGAGATGAGATGCTCCCGGCTTGGCGCGGCGGTTGGCGCACGATGTTGAAGGTTTCAGCTGGAGTCGGTGTGTGCCCGCAGCAGTGTTACATGTTCGTCGGACTCGGAACTCTTGCTTGTTTGGTCGGTGACGACTGATCGGTCGAGTAGCCGCTTGCGTGGTCATGTACGTAGATGCAAGTACGTGAAGCTTGCATGTGATGCATATATATGCAAGTTGATCTGTCGTATCTTGGTTTAGCTTGCATGTCTTCTCGTATGTACGTGAGGCATGTACAGATTGATTGGCTTGGCTTGCATGATGATCTAGCTTGCCTCTTGGAAATTGACGTAGAGCTACATGGCACGCGTATATGCATGCATACTTGGCCTTGCTTGCTTGCGTCGGCTTCATGGTGATGTTGGCGTACGTCTTTGCCTGCTTTGCCTCGTGTTGATCTGATGTCGTAGTCCACGGGCGCGAGAGGTTGCCGAGCATCGCCACGAGTGAGCAAGAGGCGCGGCCGAATATGCAACGTATATGCATGAACATGAATACGTGTAGCCCCTGATTGCTTGCATGGCCATGACGTTTGCATGCATATATCCATATACGATGCATGCATATATCCATATATGCCTTGTCCCTGCCTGCTTGCTTCTTGTTTTCTCGTAATAAGGGAATAACGCCTTGAACGTGAAAACCTTGACTTGGAAATTCCTGTGGTGCTGTATTGGAGACGGAGACGACATTGCAGATTGGAGACCGACTTGTGCTCTAATTTTGCTTCTTGGCTTTAGATCAGATCTGGTGTGAAGGATAATTGCCACGGCGGCGGTGTTGGCGGCTGCCCTTCGTGTCGTGCCCGGAAATCAGCTAACGCTTGCCAATTCGGATTTGGCATCTGTTGGGACGCTGCAAGATATCGCCGTGGAATCACGTCGCGTGGCGCAGCGAGAAAAGCCGATGCTCTAGTTGCCGAAGCTTGTCGCTGTGATCCGCCGAGTTCCCACGAACGACGTAGATCTTGAGGTACGCCATCTGGCTCGCCATGGGATCAGCACGCACACCCCCTACCTGGCGCGCCACTGTCGACGAAATATGGTCGGCAGTCCACCGAGGGGGTGCCCATGGTGGTAGATTATCTGTAGACGGTGCGTGTAATCAGGAACCAGATGGTGACACAAAACGCAGAGACAACGATTTAAACAGGTTCAGGCCGTCTGATCGACGTAATACCCTACGTCCTGTGTCTTTGGTGTATTGTATTGAGATGTATACTGATTACTTTGTCCTCTAGGGGACCCTTGTCTCTCCTTATATACTCCGAAGAGACAAGGTTACAAGTAAAGTATCCAATTTGGTACTATTACAATATCTAGTACAACTTGTAATCTTGATGTGCACGCCTTGATCTTACGGGCCGGGCCACCTCGGATGGTGCGGCCCATGTACCATCTTGTGGTACCCGGGGGTATATCCCCCACAGGCCGCAGCTATTGCGTGAGGCTCACACTGCCGGTCATGAAGGTTCGCAGAAGACACTCCATAGGCTGCGTGCACCCTTCTAGAACCGACACGTGCATAGGTTGGTTCGAGACTATGTCAAAGGCTGCGCTGTTTGTCAGCGTAATAAAACCGAACACCTGCATCCCGCTGGTCTTCTTCAGCCACTTCCTGTTCCTGAACATGTGTGGAGCGACATCGCCATGGACTTTGTTGAGGGCTTTTCGCGTGTGGGCGGCAAGTCCGTGATTCTTACTGTGGTTGATCGCTTCTCGAAGATGGCGCATTTCATCGCCCTAAGTCACCCCTACTCAGCTAGCTCCGTTGCTCGTGCCTTCTTTGACAACATTGTGTGGCTGCATGGATTTCCATGTTCTATTGTGAGTGATTGGGATACTGTTTTCACTAGCAATTTTTGGGAGGAGCTTTTCAAGCTGGCTGGTGTGACCTTGCTACGCAGTTCCGCATTTCATCCACAGAAAGATGGGCAATCTGAGGTCACTAATCGTATCATAGTTATGTACCTGCGTTGCTTAGCGGGGGATCGGCCTCGTTCTTGGTTGCAGTGGCTTCCTTGGGCGGAATTCTGTTATAATACTTCCTACCAGTCTGCCCTGCGCGCTACGCCGTTTGAGGTGGTGTATGGCCGGTCTTCACCGTCGATGGTTTCCTATCTTCCTGGGTCGGCTCGGGTGGCTGCTGTTGATCGCTAGCTTCGTGACCGCGATAAGTTCCTGCTGGACATCCGTGATCGTTTGGTATTGGCTCAGGACACTATGCGGGAGATCCATGACAAGAAGCGCCGGTTTGTGCAGTTTGCTGTAGGTGACTGGGTGCTGCTCCGCCTTCATCACCGCACAGCTGTTGGTATTACTCTGGCGGCCTCCTCCAAGCTAGGGCCGCGGTTCTTTGGACCCTATCAGATTGTTGAGCGCTTGGGCGCCGTGGCTTATCGTCTACGTCTTCCGCCGAAGGCTCGTATTCATGATGTCTTTCATGTGGCGCTGCTGAAGAAGTATGAAGGGGACCCTCCAGGCGCCATTGTTCCTCTTCCATCCACGCTTCATGGGCGTGTCATTCCTACTCCGGCTGCGGTGGTGCGTGCTCGCTTGAACCGGGGTCGCTGGCAACTCCTTGTTCATTGGGAGGGGCGGACTGCGGCTGATTCTACTTGGGAAGATATTGATGACTTCAAGGAGCGCTATCCAGCATTCCAGCTCGCGGACGAGCTGTTTGTTGGGGAGGAGGGAAGTGTTATAGACGCCTTTGTAGGGCGTCAGTATAGGCGCCGGCCGAGGCCTAGCCGTGGCTAAGGGGCTCGGCTGATTAAGTTAGGAGAGGAAAGGGAGGAAATTTAGGAAATTTATATTTAGGAAATCTATTTTGGGTTGATAGTAGTGCACCTATTATATAAAGGGCACTTAGAGATTGTAAGAGGACTTATCGAAGAAGGAATAAACATCCCAAGGTGGGCGGGTTACCTTCGACGGTGGCTGCGAGCGATTCTGCCGCTGCCGCCGGCGAACCTCCCGTTGCACCATTTCCTCGCTATCCCTTGCGCTCCAATTCTCAATCCAGCCTTCTACTCCACTCTCCCCTGCGATCTCCCCATCGTACCCGTCCACGCCGTAACAGCTTCTATCGAAGTCGACCACTTGCTTGTGCGTTACCTCCGACCCCATCAAAGGTTTTGTGCTCTTATGTTGTTGTTTTCACTTTGAGTATTCTTACACACTTGATTTGTTCTTTGTTGTAAAAGTAGTTATATGATACACCCTTCTTTTTGAAAGTATGTTGTTTAGGAAAAGCTAATTAGTTCGTTTTTGAACTACTAATTAGCTTATCCTTTGTTTCATATTTTTATAAACGGAGGGAATAGTTATAATTTAGTTTAGCATGCATCTTTTTACATGTTTATGTTCTATATAATGCAGGGAAGGAGTTCAATTTATGTTTGATTGTGTCTCTGGGTCATTGAGTGCTGATGGTATTTCTGGTTGCATTTTAGCTGATGATATGGGGCAATATGCTGACCAAATCCTTCCCTCTGTTTTCCATTATTATACTTTCATGTAATGTGTAATACTACATGTTTTCTTTGACCTTCATTTGATTACTGATTCACTGTGTTATAAAGCTACTTCTAACTTCTAAACCTTTTTTGTACACGTCTAGATTGGGGAAGACTTTACAGTCAATAACTTTACTATATACCCTTCTTTGTCAAGGCTTCGATGATAAGCCAATGGTTAAAAGGGCTGTCATTGTAACCTTCACAAGCTTAGTTAGCAACTGGGAATCTGAGATAATTAAGTGGTTGAAAGGCAGAGTGCAGCTGCTGGCCCTCTGTGAAAGCACACGTGCTGATGTTCTTTCTGGAATAGAAAGTTTCTTAAAACCCTTGAGCCGTCTTCAGGTTTTCTTTTGCTTACTCATTATTTGTTAATATACACTATACTAAATGAAAACGTAGCTGCAAGTTAATGACAATTTCTGCTCAAAATATATGTCGTGTTTGAATCATCTTCAGGTACTTATCATATCTTATGAGACTTTCCGCATGCATTCTTCAAAATTTGAAAGACCGGGCAGCTGTGACCTTCTCATATGTGATGAGGCCCACAGGCTGAAAAATGATCAGACACTGACAAATAAGGTTTGTCAGTTTACTGATGTCATTTACACACACTATTCATCTACACTTGGGGTTCTTCTCCGACTTTGTTCTGCTGAAACCGCTAAAATGCATAATGTGTAGGTTTTGGCTGCCCTTCCTTGTACACGGCGCATCCTCTTGTCCGGTACCCCAATGCAGGTACTTTTTGGTATCCCCCACCCCTACCTACCACAGAAAAAAAAGGAATTACATGCCTATCCTGGAACAATTGACTTGAAATTTGCTGTACTCCCCAGACCCCACTCATGTGGGAGCCTCCGGCACTGGGTCTGCCCTTTTAATGTTTTCTGGTGCTGCAGAATGATTTGGAAGAGTTCTTCTCAGTGGTGAATTTCACAAATCCAGGGGTTCTGGGGGACGCTTCATATTTTCGTCGTTATTATGAAGTAAGTATGGAGCTTGACATGAATCAGGCTGTACTGCCAAATTACGAGTTACAGCTGTTCATTCAAAGACAATCAGTACTTCTCATGTATGCTTAGAGATATTTTTAGGGGAACCTGGAAAACATGATCAGAATTGTTGTTCAGTACTTTTATTTCTTGTGGGCCTATAGTCACTTCTCTCTGTTTACCCTGGTACCATCTATCCTTAAATGAAGGCTCCAATCATCTATGGGAGAGAACCCACTGCAAGTGCAGAAGAAAAGAAATTGGGATCTGAGAGATCTGCATAGCTTAGTGCAAAAGTAAATCAGGCAAGTCTTCCCTGCTGAAGAAGTTTGTCAGTACTACACTCTGATTGGCATGCTATGCTATTTTACTCCATTGAAGCTATTTGTTATATTTTGTATCCTTTTTTGTGCTTGCTGGAGACTAATTTGATTGTGATGGTTTCTCTATGATATTCAGTTTATCTTGAGACGAACAAATGCCCTGTTATCCAATCACTTGCCTCCAAAGGTATGCTTATTTGTTTGATCAAATTCTTTTAGTTGCTCTGTATTGTGAAAGTTTAACAAATATGCTCACCATGCTTTTGATTGAAAACAAAATTGTATCATGCCCTATTTATTTTGTTAAAAAGGATTTTCCTTATAATTTCTGAAGAATATTTTGCCTACCCCGCCTTGCTTAAAAACATTGCTATTGTACCAATGTTTTTAAGGCGTCGCCTAATCGGCAAGGCGCTACAGGCGGGACGACTTGGCGGACGACTCGCCTCAGATTGGTATGGCGTCCGCCTTACTACCATGGCGTCCGGAAGTCGTCGATTTGGCGTCCGATTCGTCGAAATCGAGCAAGGCGGGCGCCATACGGGGATGGCCACGGTAGGAAAACGCGGGCGCGGGAGAAAGGACGGGGAAAGTGCAGGCGCGCGGGAAAGCATCGCGCGCGCGGGAGATTAGGCGGGGAAAACTGAGAGAGAAGGGGTGCACAGGAGAAACATAGCACGCCGGAGGGGAGAGAGAGAGCGGGCGCGCAGAAGATTCACCAGCAGGAGAGCGGGAGGGGAACCAGAAGCCGCAGCTCGCCCGTGCGGACGCGTTCTCCCGCGCCGACGGGAGAAGTTGCTGCCCGCCCGCCGCCGAGCCGTGCGGCCGCCTGTGCAGGCTGCGGCCATGTTCCCCCAATCGGCGCTGACCTGCAACATCTTGCCTCCTCTGTTCCTCTATCGAGCTGCAGCGTCCAAAGCCTTTCTGTTCCTCCGTCTATCAAGCAAGAAGAGCAGCACATCTGGAGGAGAGAGGGAAGCAAGAGACAGAGAGGGGCGGAGGCGGAGCAGCAGTGGAGAACGAGAGAGAGGTGCGGCGGCGCTGGAGTGAGAGGATTGGGAGTTCGAGAGATGAAGCAGGAAGGTCAAAGGTGAGGGGTATATGGGCTGCCTGGTGGGCTGGGCCAGACTACTTCTTGCTCCTTCTCCTTTCTTTTTCCTTTTTCCTTTTTGTTTTTCTTCATTATCTACCACTCTAAGCTGCTCTTTTAAGATTCCCTTAAGATGTTAAGGCGTCGCCTCGCCTCACGCCTTAGTCGCTTAAGCGTAAGGCGGTAGTCCGTCGCCACGCCTCGCCTTATCGCCTTGAAAAGATTGTATTGTACAGATTGTTGAAGTCGTGTGCTGCAAGTTGACTCCTCTGCAGATAACACTGTACAACCACTTCATACATTCCAAAAATGTGAGGACCTAATTTTACATTGCTTTGGATTCAAACAATTTTATTAGATAAATGTTACGCAGAGTTTTTTTTTCCTGCAACAACCTATTATTGATCCTTTCAGGTTAAACACTTGATATCTGAAGAAGCAAAGCAATCCAAAATTCTAGCATATATTACCGCTCTTAAGAAATTATGCAATCATCCAAAGGTAAATAATTTAATATTTCCACTCGAGATGCATTTACCCTTCAGCTGAAGTGTCTTAAAGAGTATGCTTCCCCAGAATAATTTGTAGTTTCTACTATGTACCTTTTCAAACAGTAGGATTAGGCAAGGAGAATGTAAATTTCTCCTGATTATTAACTATTCTGTTCTGAAATTCCCAGAATTCTAGCCTCTTGATGCTATATAGTTTTTTTTTTCCATGAAAGTGTGCACTGTACAACTGATAGTAATAAAACTCCACAAACAAGTTATAATGAATTTCTGGGCACACTGCTTATATTACTATTTCTAGTGATCATGAATTTATAATTTGAACTTTTTTTGGCTATAAGCAAACTCCATTATGTATTTGTCATTTGGCTATCTTCATATTGCAGCTGATCTACGACACCATAAAAAGTAACAATTCAGGTGGCTCTGGTCTTGATGACTGTGCGCGCTTTTTTCTGGAAGGTACTTAACACTTCTCTCTCTATCTTTCATTTTTGCTGAACCATCTTACAACTACTGTTTATTAGTGCAAAGGTCTGGATCATGGACTGGCGGAGGAGGAATGTGGGTAGAGCTATCTGGGAAAATGCATGTATTGGCAATATTACTGGGGCACCTCCGTCAGAAAACCGATGATCGTATTGTTCTTGTATCAAATTATACTCAGGTCAGGTATTTATAATATAATATTTTGATATGATGTCATAAGGTATAGTTGATGTGCAGAATTTTTCTTATCTCAAAGGCCTTGGAGAAACACAAATTTGTACACTTAGATGAAACTTTAAACTATATAACTGACTGAGTAACTGGTGTTTGCATTTTTCCTTTCAGAAATAGTGAAATACTGAATGTAAATCTTAATCAACATAGTTTTACCTAGAAAATTTCCTATGCTCCACTCTTCTATAGCTCTTACTAGCTACTCGAGCCAAAAGGGCAACTGAGATTCTTCAAGTTAAAGCATCAATTACTTGTGACAGAAATGGGGATGTCGTAAGGCATTGTTAATACTAAAATCTTCATTGTCTTTACGTTTGCTAGTATTTTGTTTATGATTACACCATGTACTTAGGGCCTGTTTGCTTCGACAACTGCCTGGTCCAGGCAGCGTTCCCAGGTGTCTGATTTTGGACACCTGGGGTTGGATGTGCAGGCTACAGCTGCCTGGGCAGGGTCTCATCCAAACAGGCCCTGCATGGACAAAATTAGAAAAGCTTCAAATGTACGTGTACAACGAGCAATCCCAAAGTCAACCTGTGGTCCATCCCAATCCTACTTCACAAGATGACAAGAATTCTGTTAATTGGTATAACGGGATACAGGTTGGGCATGCCTGCTTATTATGAGTTAAGGCCAGAACACTGTACTGTGCCTTGAAGGATAAATGGCACAATATATTTGCCTCAGTCTCTATTGTTATGTGGCTGCTAGGATTTAGAGGGAGAGACCTATGGGAGAGGCGGCGACGGTCGGGCTACAGTAGATCTTGTCTCTGTTCACAAAGAAGACTAAATGTGATTAATTGCTTTTGGAGACCCTCGAAGTTTGGAATGACTAATCGTTGCCAATTTGTTCTTTTTTAAATTCAGACATTAGATCTATTTGTTCAATTATGCCGGGAAAGAAGATACCCATATGTTAGACTTGATGGAGCAACATCCATCAATAAAAGGCAGAAGCTGGTGAACCAATTCAATGATCTATCTAGGGTACATAAAATCTGCCCTGTATCCTTTATAACTGTTACTCCAACATACCGTTATATCTGAAATTATTGTATTTGACAGGATGAGTTTGTCTTTCTACTTAGTAGCAAGGCAGGTGGCTGTGGGCTTAATCTGGTAGGTGGAAATCGTTTGGTTCTCTTTGACCCTGATTGGAACCCTGCCAATGATAAGCAGGTTAATTTCTATGCATCTCATGTTCATCACCTTCTCAACGTTCTTGTAACTATGCTCCTTGCCTAACCTGCTCTTTTTGTGATCTATTGCCATCTGGAAAGGCTGCTGCTAGAGTATGGAGAGATGGACAGAAAAAGAGAGTCTACATTTATAGGTTCTTAAGCACAGGAACCATCGAGGAGAAGGTTGCCAACCCTGAAACTTGTATTTTGGTTATATCTTTTCTTATCCTTTTTCGTTTTCTAGTGAATGGATGATAATTTCTTGCTTTCTTGCACTGTAACTTTATGTGCTACATCCTTCTAAAGGTATATCAGCGTCAAATGTCGAAAGAAGGCCTCCAAAAAGTTATTCAGCAGGAGCAAGCGGACAACAAAATGCAGGTTTAATTGTTGGAGTTTCCTTTTACTTTCTGTTCAAAAATTTTAAGTGCCAAATGTATTGATTTGTCATCTTATTGTTACAGGGGAGTTCTCTTTCAACAGAAGATCTGCGTGATCTTTTTACTTTTCATGAACATGTCAGGTTAAATTTGTTCCTCTGAACATGTGGCTCATTCTTTCTTCATCTTGTTACTAGTAGGGAAAGACATTAGACAACAACAAATGAGTTAAAAAAGAAACAGCAGGAACCAGTTGATGGTTAGTACAATTGGACCTCACAGATTGGGTAGATGTGGAGCTTAGTTTGACAAAACATTAGCTATCTAATTTGTTCAATCATTTTCAGGAAATGATGCTGAACTTGTTGATCCGCTTTGCAAACAATGTCTGTCAGTTGTGGTTCAATGAAGTTGGGCCTTGTTTAGATTCCAAGTTTTTTCACTCTCTCTCCATCACATCAAATCTTTGGACACATGCATGGAGTATTAAATGTAAATAAAAAAAATAACTAATTACACAGTTTGATTGTAAATTATGAGACGAATCTTTTGAGTTTAGTTAGACCATGATTGGACAATAATTGTCAAATACAAACGAAAGTGCTACAGTGCCGAATACTGATTTCTAACCGCGAACTAAACAAGGCCTTGGTGTAGTTACTGTAAGCGAGTTTGGTTTGTGGAATCAGTTGCATATATAGAGAGATGACCACGGGTTAGGGTTTATAGAAGTGGAACCGATCCTGGTCATCCAAGCCTATCTCAACACAATCAAGGGCACCTGGGCTATGGGCCTCTACCCTTTGTGCCTGGGCCTAAGCCCATCCACAATACAAAGTCTGCCTAACAGTTACCATTGCTTTCATGTTCACATTCAGTTGTGAGGAGCCGAGATTCAAGAAGACTCTACATGATTGTATTGTGTAAATAACAAATTATAATTAATTGATCAATTATTTGGAAAAATTAGATCATTGTCATTTGTTTTCGGCAAGCCATGGATAGTATTTCAGCTTCAAGAATACCAGCAATTGCTAACTTGCTATTGACTAACTAGACTCCTAGGCATTTCTCGAGCTTGGCCAGAATACCCTGTCATTAGAATTTTTCAATATTTTTCTTGAACATGCAAGTATCTTAATAGAAGAAGAAAATGTTTAACAAAGACAGAAAAAACTGATACATATGTGCCACACAAACAAGAGATGAATTTGTTAACACTTGCAAAAGGCAATATCTGTATTCACTATTGTCATCTAAATGCAGTACCTTGTACCTTAGTTAATACCATGTATAATATTGTTGCTTACCTTCATTTGCACAGGTCTGAAATACATGAAAATTTGAAGTGTAGCCGCTGTGACAAGGATGGAAATTCAGCTTTGGATGGTACTGGTTTTGCAGCCACTGATCATAAGGCTTCAATTCCAGGAGTGCAAGATTATGCTGATATTGGTAGGTTTGGAGAGATATCTGGATGTTTGCAGAAAATGAATAGCGCACAGCACCAGGTAATTTTGATGGCACCCTATTTATATGTTTCCTAACTCTGCAGTAGCCAGTAGTTTTTGTTTAACTTGACCCATCGGGGAAGACTGGACAAGGCATTTCTGCAGCTTTAAACCTCAAGAGATTTCATTTAACTTTCTATGCTCACCCTTGTCAGATTGGAAGACCTACTGAAGAAGACCTAGGAAGTTGGGGACATCACTTTGATCCATCAACTGTACCTGATACTGTACTGCAGTGTTCTGCTGGCGAAGAGGTGACAACCTAAGACCCTCCGTGCAACTGCATCTCATTGGTTTGGTTCATAAATCTTACTCGCTCCATTCCAAACTATAAGTCGTTTTGGCATTTCTATGTAGTATGTACATATATTTTGCTATGTATCTAGACATGACGCTTATCCAGGTGCTTAACCAAAGCTATGCACTTAGAAAAGCCAAAACGACTTGTAATTTGAAACGGAGGGAGTACTTATTTTAGGATTGTACGTCTCAGACCCAGTATCGTTTTCTCTGGATCCACTTGTTTGTTTGTACATTGCTTAATTAGATTTAGATGGTAAAGTTAGTTGAAAAAAAAGAATGGTTGAGAAGCTGGCCTTTAAACAGTTAGCATCTTTAATCTGTATTTGAGAAGAACCAACTTTTGCATTTACAAACAACATCTATGGCATCTGTGCCGCAGAGTTTAGTTTAAACTTAGTTTTTAGGAGACGACTACAACTGGTAACAAAGCACATGTGCATCTTGCAGGTTTCTTTTGTTTTCACCAATCAGGTTGATGGAAAACTTGTTCCAGTTGAATCTATGGTGCGATCAGCAGCTCATCAACAAAACGGAATAGCAGCCACCGGAGAAAAAGGAGTGCAGAAAACCAATTCTCCTAGCAAACCTGGAAGGCAATCCTTAAATGGCAAGAATTTGAAGTTGATGGGATTTAATTTAAAGAATTTGTCTTTGAAATGTTCAACCAAATCCAGAACATCACCAAATTGCTTGCAATATCTGATGATGATTTTGTTTGAGTTTCGATTGAAAACTACGTATATAGTGTCATCTGTTGATGTGCTATCTGTTGCATATATAGTGTCATCAGCTTTCTACGGTGCCTATTGCATCTTTTTTTCATGTTTCTACAATTTTCTTTTATTAAAAAAATATAGGTCCTAGTAACGTATGTACATAGAAAAGCAAAAACGACTTACAATTTGGAATGAAGTACAATGGATAAACAATTATTTTAGCTCAGACTTGTGGCACTCAAGATGTTTGTTGTATTGAAGAACTATAGGTGTAGTAGCATTGTTTATAAAACATAGAGCACTTAAAAATTAAATTATCAATGTCAAATATGAAATAATCTTTTCGTCAAATGTATACACTTATTTAAAATAACATCTTACAAAATCTTTTGTCATGGAGTATTAATATAACTTAAAGAGAATAGTTTGTTTCATGGTTTGTTAAGGAAGCATTTTCCCACTTGATAACTATTATAATAAAATAAAAACTATCTTAATGTATGTACCCTTAATTATAATTTTATAATTTAATAGTGGTAGAATTATGTAATATAAAAATATATACAATGTATTTTATGGTTGTTGAATTATTTGCAAAATAGTTTATATTAGTATTTATATGTATATTTTGAGGGGTGTTTTAATTTTTTTATCACAGTAGCCGTGTAGGTGGGTAATGTAGATAATAATCACATGCGTTACTTTAAATTTTATTTTATAAATAACATATGTGTGTATTTAGATGTAAATTTAGGGTATACTTTGCATTGCCTTTCATAATGGTAGAAGTGGATAATTTAGATGCAAATTTATATAGTTATTTTAAATTATTTTTTGTTATTGCATAGATGGGTGATTTGGATACAAATTTATTTTAAATTTTAGAGGTGAGTAATTTAGATATAAATTTAGTGGGTTATTTTAAATTATCTTTCATGGACCATAGTAGTAGAGGTGGATACTTTAGATACAAATTTAGGGGTTATTTTAAATTATCTTTTGTAATGTTGGGGGTGGGTAATTTAATGCAAATTTTAGAGGGTTACTTTATCTTTTTTTTATAATGATAGATGTGGATAATTTTGTATAAAATGAAATAGATCTAATTGCTATTGTTTGTGATAACAATACAAGTTTATTGTAGTAGAGTCCAAATGTTTTTTATTATTATGAGAATTTTTTAGATTTATCTCTTTTTTTTCTAGTGTGTCTTATCAGTATTAACGCGGAGCTCTATTTGGTCCTCTAATCAGAAATAGTAAGATGGTTGGATACGTGCACTGTTTGGGAATACTGAAAAGGATAGCCTCTTGGTACTGTACTAGTCAGCTGTTTGATGTTGGTCGATAATTTTGTACTATCATCAGTAGCAAACGAAATGTAGACACGCGATGTTGTAGATCCTTGATATCGTAAATCGATGCATATTAATTATTTTCAGTCCTGGTGCACGGTGGTAATGTTTATCTACGGTTGGCTGGCCAGACATTACGCCCTATTATTGCTTTCATACATTTCAATGATGATTTGATTGTGATCGTTGACGTGATATTTCATATTTGGTTTGTGAATCGCTCCGGTGGTCCATTGAGGTGATCTGATGAATTTCGTACTTTCGGTGGGACGTGTGTTCTCCGTACACAAAGGAGCGATTTTTTTGGAAGCCCACAAAGGAGTGAATTGACACCGCATTATTTTCCTGGAATAGAGCGTCACCTCAATCATCTATGACGTTCCGTAATGAAGATATTTTACTTTTTAGCATGCTGCATGCATTATAAGTGTATTTTTGATAAGTTTGTTTTTCATGATTATGTTACGTACAGTAGAGTAGTACAGTACTACATACTTCTGCACATAGCCTAATTGCTGGGGCTGGGCTGGCTGGTCAGCCCCCTTACATGGCTACTGTTTACGCGAAACAGTCAGCAGTATTTCTCTTTTACATAAACGAACCAGCAACGATACGAACCAGCCAACCGAACATGCTGTGTACCCTCTTCAGCTCTCCTGTCCAAAAAGTTAGTCGGCGATCGGCGTATAGCGTGTTCGCAAATAACCGGTAGATTTAAGCATGCCGTTCCGACAAGCAACTAAACCAGCCACTTGGGTGATCTGGGCCTTGTTTAGTTGCTCCCAACTCCCAACTTTGGCATTATGCAAAAAGAAGATTCCCAACTCCCAACTTTGGCATTATGCAAAAAAGAAGATTACTCGTCACATCAAACTTGTGGTACATGCATAGAGTACTAAATGTAGACAAAATCAAAAACTAATTGCACAGTTAGGTTGTACTTTGTGAGACAAACGTTTTGAGCCTAATTAGTTAACGATTGGATAATTATTATCAAATACAAACGAAATGCTACAGTGCGCTACATTGGCGCACAGTGAATCCGGCGGCAGCCCTGCTTTCATCTCCAGGTGAATCCGGCGGCAGCCCTGCTTTCATCTCCAGCTGTCCTTTATTAGAGTCTTTCCATGTGGGTGACAGCGACACTATTCAGTTACCCTAAAAGCTTGAAATCTGCACTGTTCTACGCATCCCCTTGACCCTTTGGCATAGTCACGTCAAGTAGTCCTGGCGATTACGAATCTGTTAATTCTTAGCGTGAGATTCAGGGATGAGTGTTAATTAATTTCCATGAAAAATGTAATTTTTCTGCATACGTAGGGATTAGGTTTGGATTAAGTATTTTTTTTAAAAAAAATTGACAAGTTTATAGAAAATAATATTGACATCTATGTCTCCAAACATGTTTACTATGAAAATATGTTCCTTAATTAATCTAACAATATTTATTGAAAACATTAAAATTAGTATTTTTTTATCAGACTTATTGATTGATATGATTGAACTCTTTCTCGATGGAGGGTGTCGTTGAGATCTGTACTGTCCCTGGGGTGGTATTGATTGTTGGTGTTTGTTTCTTTTCTCCCTGAGATCTGTAGGATTAAAAGTAGGAATCGGGGTCACAATGAGTGTGGTCTTCATTCCCATCCCTCACATGTGCAGTCACAAAAGTTAAATGCATTACTGGAAGAAAAGAATTGTGATGTTCATGTGCTCACATGGGTGCTGATCTTAATGGCTTTGCCTAAACTCTGTCGGTTTGACCATTTAATTAGGTACTCCGGGTCTTCATGCACGTTAACTTGTGAGAGTCCCTTGATGGATTATTCTCTTCGGGGCCATGGTTTAGGTTTCTTTTGCTTGAGATGATTCTGGGCTTCTAGTTGAAGAGTTTGCAATTTCTTGCAAGTAGGACCTTCACCCTTGTAAGGACATTGAGTGCAGAATCTTAGTAGGAACTCACAGAGAACCGCATTTTCAGATCACGGTGACAACATATTTTCGTATGTTGGCAGTTGTCCCATTCCATCGGTGCCCCTTAGTTTAGGGTTTAGAAAATAAGATACACTACTTTTATGAAGCTTTGTGGCATCGTTTTATTATCCTGGACATCATTGTGCCACACAATGATAATGTCCTGACTCCTACTGTATTTGTTTTGGTGATGGAGAAATGGGGACTAGTGCTTGATTTGAGAAGTTTCTCATGGCCCATCTGATTATTGTATTTGCCATGTTTTTCTTGCTTGTGTGTCCATGCTCTAAATACCAATTGACACCTAAAGGAAGATAAGAGAGTGGCACATTAAAGATGGATGTCTCAATCTTCTGATCTATATTTTTGATCAATCGTGTTTATAAATAATAAATGACTTAAAAAATTAGACAAAAAAACTGATTGTCAATTTACAGTCATTGTCAGTCATCTATAAATTACTTAAATTTTTGCAAGAATTTCATGGTTGTTCAAAAACTGGTAGTTTGAGAAATTGAATTTGGTGCTGTTTCCCCCCATAGTAAAACCACTTTAGAACGCTGCATAACTGAACCTTAAGAAAATTATAAAGTCCTCCGCTTGTTGCAAAAAAAAACTTTTTCCCCGACATTTGTGGAACACGTAGTGTTAGGTTGATCTCCTCCGACTCGGTCCAATGACCGAGTCGAGCCTTGATCCCGTGCCTTGATGGGGATGCCCAACCAATTCATGGTTGGTGGGGCCCCGTCGCACAGCGCCATATAAAAGAGGTGGGGGGCCGGGGCACTCGGTACGAGGTTCACCATGCTGCCACAAACCCCACCGACAAAGCCCTAAACCGATCTAAGAGGGGGCGCTGAAGCGGCGGGAAGCGACCGCCACCGACTCTGCCGTCACCCGTCTTCACCGACACCGCGCC